GCCCCCCCAACCACCACCCCCCCGCCCTCCCCGGTGTCTGTGTTTCTCTCTCTGGTCGGAGGCGGCGGTAATGGCGGATGGTGGGTTGTGGCGCCGGCGGCGGCTGCTGTGAGGGACGATGAGTTCCTCCTTCGTGGCGAACGGGGCCAGCCTGGAAGATTGTCACTGTAACCTCTTCTGTCTGGTGAGTGCCGGGGCGGCGGGCGGGGGCCGCGGCGAGCGGGCGGTGGGGGAGGGGGCCTCGAGGTGCGCCCTTGGGCCGTGGGGGAGGGGGTCCGGGTCGGATCCAGATGCCAGAGTCCCCGGGCTAGGCCCAGCCGGAGCCCGCGCCCTGCGACGCTCGGCGGCCAGCCCCGGGAGGCGGCATTCACTCAGCCGGGGTCCTGGGCTCTGCCCGAGGAGTGCTGGCTTTTTTTCTGTCTTGTTTCGACTCCCCATTCCCCCCGCCCCCACGGCAGTCTTGTCTTCAACTTGGATTCCTTATCTGGCAGGACACTTAACATTTTCCTGTTTCTTGCTTAACTCTCGCTTTTCTCCTTATTGATTGGGTACACTTTTTCACACTTTACAYGATTGCCTTTACTTCGTTATCTTTATACCTTATCCTGATGATTTGGTTTCCCCCAATAAATAGGACCCCGGGATTTCTGCGTTAAAAACCTTTCGTTTTATGTATTTTTGTATGAGTCAAAGTCACACAGAGTTAGTGCCTTCCTTGGTGACTTCATATTTTTGTGTAAAAACCAGTCGATGCCATTTCATGTTTTCTTTTTCAAACTTTGGAAACAGTTTGCCATTTTGACAATTTCAAGCCATCTTGCTTTTATTAGAACATTATGTTTTTGGGAGAGTGGAGGGACTAATGGAGGGAGGTGCAGTGGTTTTGCACTAAACGTTTCTATATTTGTCTGTTTTGCCTGCTTAAGAATATTTTCAGCAGGCTGCTCCTTGTTTTTATTGGAGTGAAAAGTCTGGGGAAGCTGGATGTAGCCATTACAATTGTGTAGGTTGCTCCAGGTTTAGTAACATCCAACAGTTAAGACTTTCAAAAGTGCCAACTGTTGCAAATATCAAGTCCTGAACTGGACAATAGCTTAGGTTCATCATTGACTTAAAGTTTGAGTGACTTTAAAAATCTTTTCTGTGCTGTGAGAAATATTGAGAGTATATGATAGGTAAGTGAAGTGGGCGGAGCGCAAGTAGTTGGCAAGTGTAAGCTGCCAGTCATGTATCAGCAGTTTCATTTTTGGCATCTTATACTTTCTCTCTTTAAGTTAAATTATTGAATTGCCTTGGTTGAATTTCTTTCATAATGCTAAATGGAGATCTTTAATGCACTTACCTATTATAAAATGTTAGTTTTCTTGACAATGTTCATTAATCAGCATCTCTTCAGATATAATAAGACATAGAGCAGGTTTAACATTTCTATCTTCTCCAACCCGGATCTATTTTTGGTACTTTTAGGATCAGGTTCTTGGAAGATAGACTAACATAAATCTGACATTTCTTTGGGAGCAGCTATTTGACTTTTCCTGAAGAGGTGTGTGAGTGAAGAATTAAGAGGGCTTTTTAAAAAGAATTATTCAGATGTCTCTCTTTTTCTTTAAAGCCATGACTTCTCTAAACTTGGAGTGATGGATTTAAGAATTAATTGTTGGTGCAAAGTTTGATGCCAAGAAACAAATGTGACTAGTTCAGATAGGATTTAGGAGAGGAAATGTATACTCGGTGTGCAGTACTAAAGAACATGTTTTTATTTAATGTTCCTCTTATTTCTGCTTGAGATGCGTTGTTTTTGTTGTGCTGTTCAGTGGCRTGTTGGTGTTAATTTTAAACTGTTTTTCTTTTTTTCCTTAAATTCTTGGTTGTTGAATTATTCAGAATTAAAGTTTTTTTTGTCATAATCTGCTTTCAGCGTTATAAGCAATATTGAAAATTTTTAGTGTCCCATTGAAATTGGGGACTTTGTATTGAATACTTTTTGACTTTGAGTGAATGTACAATAATAAAAAAATCATACTTTCTTTTCTTTAGGCTGACTTGACAGGAATTAAATGGAAAAGATATGTATGGCAAGGTCCAACTTCTGCCCCTATTCTGTTTCCGGTGACAGAAGAAGACCCCATTTTGAGCAGTTTTAGTCGCTGTCTTAAGGCAGATGTACTTGGTGTTTGGCGGCGAGATCAAAGACCTGGAAGAAGAGAGTTATGGATATTTTGGTGGGGTGAAGATCCTAATTTTGCTGACCTTATTCACCATGACTTATCAGGTGAAAACAATTTACTATTTCTAGCCAATGATTTAACAACATTGTATACATTTCCCAAAATACTGTTTGTATTACAAATTAAGGTGGTGGGGGGGGGGGGCTGGTGCGTAGTGCCACATCTGTGTACACCAGTTAGATAACAAAGCCAGATAAAAATACAGTTTCATGTTTCATTTTACTATTATTATTTTATTTAAATCATTCATGCATGTTATGGGAGGCTTTATTTACTTTTCTCTTGCACTGGGGATTGAACTCAGGGCTTCCTGTGTCCTAGGTAAGTGATGTAGCACTGTTCTATACCCCGAGTCCTGTGGGAGGCTTTTTAAGCTTTGAATTACGGTCTCCTTCCAATATACAGCTTCCTTCCTTAATTTCTCACAAGTGTTTAGAATCTAAAGAAGGCATGTTACATTAACCTAAGAAAAATGGAATCCAGGAACATAAAGTTTTTAGCACAGTTACATAATACTTTTGAAACCAAGTGTAACTCAACTTGGAGTCAGTTCTGCCACTGCTCTCTTTTGCATGAATATAGAGACATTGTAGGAGTATCTGGAACTGTAGCTTTCTCTGGTATATTTTTCAAGGTATGTAGTTATTTTGTTGTTTTTTTATTTGCTTGTAAAGACATAYGTTAATTTTGTTATTTTTGGAAAGTGACTCTTTTAGATACTGTTACATCAAAGATAAGGAGACAAGAGCCAACTTGTTTAGCTTTTATAGGACAGAGGGTCATAATCTAGAAGATTACACATAAATAATTTTGTGAGCAAATTAATGATTACTTATTATTTTCTCAACTTTTAGGATCAAATGCTACTTTAGAAAGAAAAACTATAGCTCTTCATGTAATTACTGAGGCTTGTGTTTACTTTAGACTGTAAGAGTCTGTTAACTGAATCTTTGATAGGAATGTAAATGATTAGTTGAATGCAACAAGAAATAACTTTAGCCGGTTATTTCAATGATTTTTGACAGTTAAATTTAGGATTTTTAGGTCATTTTATTTTTTTATTTGTTCTTTTTAGATATACATGACAGTAAAGTATTTTTGACATACATGTATGGAATGTAGCTTATTCTAATTAGAATCCCATTCTTGTGGTTATAAATGATGTGGAGTTTCACTGGTGGTATATTCATGTATAAACATAGGAAAGTTATGCCTAATTCATTTTATTGTCTTTCTTTAGATTATTTTTAAAAAGCTTTCCTATTCGAAATTGAGCACTCTGAAGTTTTCTGTTATTGTCTGGCCTGTAGGTTTTTTTTTTTTTTTTTTTTTAATGAAATGTAATCCAGGTGTCTGTATCTTGAACTAGTACTTAGTAAAACCAACATTTGTTTAGGAATGTGTGTGTGTTAATTTTGTGTGTTCTGATAATTGCTTTTTACCTTCTCATGAAAACATTTTTTTCCGTGTTCTTATTTTTGAAGTGATTGCAGTTCTTTTAAGCTTTTCAACTTTCTAAGATGGCCTACCAGAGTGTAGACTTAGTTCTAAGTATGTAATATTGTTCTAAATATGTAAAATGATTAGTTTGTATGTATGTATCATACATGTATGTCAGGATTTAAAATTCCTAATAGTTTTAGCAAGATGTTGCTTTCTAATTGCTATGCCAAAAGCTAAGCCTACCAGCTTCCTTTTTCTTTCATTGACTTGGGCATATGTGAGTTATTTAATCTTTAAGTGATCATTAAAGTCACTTCACTAAAATGTGTAGAAAGTTTTTGTTTTTAGTGGGGCTGGGGCTTGAACCCAGGGCCTTATGCATGCTTGGCAAGTGCTCTACCACTGAGCTACATCCTCAGCAGCGTTACAGTATTATCAGCAATTACGGATTATCCAAAATTGCAGTTTGTCAATAGTTTATAGTAATTTGTTAACATTAAAAGTCTTTGATAATTTATGGATAGTCTATTAATGTAAGTCTCCAAACAGTAGGCTGAGAGTTTATAACTTAGTGGTAGGGCACTTGCCCAGCATGCATGGGACCCTAAGTTCAATTCCCAGCAATACAGATACACACAAAACCCCAAACAACTGTAATGCTGATTTGTAGGTTTTGGCTTTTAAGTTGGGAGAACATCTGAACAAACCTTTAAAAAGAAAAAATTCATGACATACATTTTATGGAATCAACGATACTTTTTGATATATACTATTTAGTTTTACCATAGAAGGACTAAATTTGAAGGTGAAAAGTCTATTAAAGTTAAATGTGAGCTGTTTCCCTGTAATGTTGTTAAAACACTACAGTATGTGGACATTGTTTCCTTCTAGGTTTCATATTATCAGTCAGCTATGTTTTCTCTGATGAAACTGGGTTATCATTTTTAAAATTTCTTCTTTCGTTAACTTAGGTTTTTAGCATAACTTTTTTAAATGATAGCACCCATACTTTAAAATAGATATTGATCCTGAAAGTGTTGAAAGCAATTTTGGGAGATTAGGTTTTATTTGTCAGATTTTGCTGAATGCTGTTAAGTAAGTAGTTAATAACTTTAAGATGTATCAAAGTGGAAATAATTATTTTGTTTTACTATTTCAATCAAGAATAGTATGTAATCATATTTACTATTCAAAAGCCTGTCCTGTACTATTACGGTTTACATATTCAGTGGTATTTATGTTTTAGTTTTTGTTTTAACCTGTCGTTTAATTTAGACTGTTGTTACTTAAATCAAACATAGCCTAATAATAAGCACTTTTCAGATGGAGTATATTTGTCTTGCCCTTTTCTTTGCTCCAGGGACACTGTCTGCCTCCCTTTTGGGGCAATTAGTGTGTCTGTGTCT